AGAATGCGAAACTTCAAAAACGAATGAATCAAAAATGTTTATTTGTACATACGTTTCGGTAAACGCGAACGAATCGTAAATATTAATTATGCTATCTCCCTAGTCTAACCATATAGTGCATGAACGTCCTCGAAACTGATCTGACCTTAGTTTGGAACCATCGCTTACATTTTAGTTAGTGAGTTAGTACGCGTATTAAATTGTTAGTCTAAATACACATACCAGTTGGTCCGGCACATGTCAGAGCAATCACGCAAAATACAACGATGACGGTTGGTCTTGAGGAACTCATATCCTGAACGTCAATGCGCTCAGTTGCCTGAGGACATGCAGTGATACCTCGAACTATCTTTTGGAGCTTTATATGTAAGGTGACAGCCATAAAGGAATGAATAGGAGGCCAAGGGTAGCGATTTATGTCATACGCGAACCTTTTCGCTAAGTGCGCAACTGACCTCAGTGATATTTACCGTGTGAGGTGCAGTGTCACTGCACATGCAAATTTTGCCAAGTTCATATACGCACCTTATTAATTATAATAAAGGAATACGCCCTGAATTTTAAAGTAGACCGCGTTGCCGGCTTACACCGGCCGTTCGTACGATGAATACCATAGTTGGCACCAACTGTTCCGGCGTGGTTCAGGCCGATGGCCAATGGCCAGCTGAGATGTTTATTCAGCATTCATTTTCAACGGACAGGCTGCGTTTGCCTGAAACGGAAGTGTACACAGTAAAGAGAAACCCAGCGAAGGTCAACACTATTCGATTGATAGTAGAAGAGTGCTCCAAAGCCAGTTGATATTTCTTTTGCTCTATTAATCGGTGCAGTGAAGAAAGCTTATAGAAACAACCGTCGAGTATCGAGGAGAACGATGGCCTAGAGTAGCAGCGCAAAACAAATTTTCACAGTCGACAAGCATTATTGCCAATTGACGATCCATTCTCCGACACACTGAAAAATATTAACTTAATATTATCGTATTTATTGTAAATAGAAATTAATTCAAAAATGTTCCAAACATAAAATAATTATTTAAACTGTTTATTAGTCAAATCTGTCGTTCGTTAGATTATACCAGACTATACGATGCCGGGGTAACCTCGGATGCATCAAGGACGTTATTTATGTCGTCATCCCTTACAGTCGAAAATTAGAAAATGCGGGTTTGTATGCGAACTATGTAACATTCCACTCCTGTATCACAAGAACTATAAGATAGACAACAGAGTAATTTTACAATTAGGTATACT